TTATCTTATACTTTCTAAGCTGAATGATTTCATATAAAAGTCTCAATCATTATTCTGGACACTATGATCAAAGCATATTTCAAGTACAAAAAAGGCTTTTATAATTTTATCCACAGTGTCAATAAAAACTTTGCTTATGAATGATTCAGTTCAGGGAATAGAAAATTATCGAAAGCATACTGTGGTGAATAGAAGACGATTGGGAACAATCGAATGTACTTGAACACAAATTACAGACTATTTCAGTAAATTCTGTTAACCGTACAACATACAGTTAATTTGCCAAAATAACAATCAATTGTCTCAATCTTCACTATTCCTTCTATAAATATCAGTTCATCTCTGATTTCATTGTCTATGTAGTTTCCTACCAATCGCGATTCATTTCAGTTCTTTCCTTATCGGTTTTCTGTCAAAATACATTCTATGTCTGACCATCACCATATACTACTTATATGGATATAAATAGACCACACCACAATACATTTGAAGTACAGATATTTTTCACCATTGCTTAAATTTGCATAGGTTAGTCTATATGTTTAATAAAATAGGTATTCTGTATCAACTTTCTTTAATTATTAATCCTTCGTTAAATTAAATTAAATGAATATTAGTTTTCCTTTTATTGTAAACAACATGTGTTTTTCGTTTAATTTGACCCCAGCTACTTCATCGTAGAACGTAACTTATTATTAAAGTATAACAAAAAAGCTATTAAGAATTGAATATAGGAACCTCTAGTCTTGTGTTTATTCATTAGATCGTTAAGTTAACATCTAATAGGTTAGATTTCCAGCTGAAATCAATCCACGATTCAAAGAGACGACAATTCAATACTATCTATAATTACTGTTTCAGTCTCAACATAGTTGGACTTCAACAGTCACAACATTCTGCCAGATACAATCAACCAAAACCTACTATGGGAGAGATTAAACCAACTTTCAGATGTGAACGAAATATAGGAAAAAACATTGGAAGTGGGTAGGATACACATTGAGGAAATCATTAAACTGTATCACGAAGCAAACGCTGACTCAAAATCGTGAATTGGAACAGAAAAGAGAAAGGTGAAAGAACATACTGAGTCGAGAATTGGAAGCAGACATGAAGAGAATTAGTAGCAACTAGAAAAGATTGTATAGGAGAGAGTTGGATAGAGAATACTAGTGTACGGTCTATTCTCCTCCATGAGGGTTAACAGGCATAAGTAAGTCACAATATTAATCTGTCTATTTACCGAAATTACTTACTTACTTATGCCTGTTACCCCTCGTCGAGGAGTTACCGAAATAGCATGATATAATTTTTTTCAACACTACATTCTAAAAATACATTGAATTACAGCATTTTATAATAAAAAAGTATGAAAAAATCTCTTAAAAACAAAATATAACACTTAAAGTACTCGATGAAAGTACATCTACTATTTGGTACTAAAGTCATTTATCATACAAAATGTTTAAATCATTATATATTATGAAAATGTCGGTCATTTTGCTCTTTTCTATCTATCTAGATTTAGAGAGAGAGAGAGAGGAGAGAGAGGGAGGAGGGAGAGAGAATGAATGACCTTTAATAAATTGGTCATGATCACAAAACCTCGAATTGATATACTATGGTTACTACTTAAATTTTTTTTTATAAAAAAAGGGAACATATTTCACTACATAAACATTAACTTATAAAAACAAAACTTTTTTGCATGAATTCAAATTATGAACATGTAAATGAAATAACATTTATTGTGTATAAGTAACATATACTACTTAATCTCTTTAGGTGAAATAAAATAATAATTATGGCTAGTGATATTGTTGGTGCCCCGACTGGTCGACGGAGCTATGGCAGTCAGCTCGCCGCAGACTTGACATTCTTACGGAGATTTTGGCACAGACTGCAGTACAAGAAGAAGGTGCGCACGGCGAGCAGAACTACCGCATGAAGGAACATTTACCAGATTTAAGAAATGTAAACATCCTAGACTATGAATCTGTGTAATACCGGTTGGAAACTGTTAAAGAGCAACATTTTTTTTATTTTCAAGATCACTGATGAATTTCGAATAGCATGAAACTTAAGTCAACCAAAGTTTCCTACTGACTATATCAAACCCCGTAACATGAAATATCTTCCTTTGATGTTTTTAATAAAGTTGTGGATGTGTGTTGTTGAGATCTCTCAAAGCTGTTACATGATTTTTTGATGTGAAATGATTCTACAGTTGAAGTTGGTTGTCGATGGAGACTTCCGCTAAACCATCCTATATATATTTATATATACATCATGAAACAAACGTCTATAATCAGCTTTATAATATATATGTTATTATAAATCAATTAGATTTCGATTACCACAAATTAGTATATAGACTATTTTCCCTCAGAAATGAATTCAAAATTAAGATTAACGTATATATCTCATTCAAAGTAAAGTATTATTAATTATCAGAAAGGTTTTTGTGGAGATTCAGTATTTTCATAGTTGAAAGCGTGAATCAATTGAAGCTAGACAACCATGGAAAACCTGGAAGCACTGGACAGCCGTTCTAGTGAGAAGCAGTGACCAGTGCAGTTCAACCAGGTCTGTTGTAGAGATATCAACTCACTGAAGACATTGGTAGGTCCTGGTTTCAAATCTCGCGAGTCAGGATCGTGAATGCGCGCTTATGAGAAGTCCTATAATAGGACGAAACTGTCGTCAAACAGTGCTTCCAGGTTTTCCATGGTGGTCTAGCTTCAATTGACTCACGCTTTCAACTATAAAGTATTATTATTTAACTCAAGTTAAAATGGATATTATGGAACAAAAATATTTCTCACTGTTGCAGTTTGTGACGATTATTGAATTTCATTATGATCACGAACCGATAGTCCAACGGTTTTTACTGATTATCTAGCTTAATAGGGTGTGTAATCTCAATAACATTAAAAATTCGTCACAAACAGCCTTATTGATAAATTTTATGAGTTCATTAGTGAATAACTGAATGCAGAAGTTTCTGAAGTTCTTGTAAGAAGCTTTGACTAATGGAATTCAACTGTGTTAGATGTAGAGTAGCCACCCACAGAAGATAATGGAAGGTGGATGTATAATATAGCAAACTGATATAAGTTAGACATGTTAACATCGAATGACGTCTCAGAGGTCTCAATGTTAAGTTTTCACAAAATATATTAGGTTCAATCTTTCTTAAGACCATGAATACTCACTCTTCAGGAGTGCCATACCTGGATGATACAAGTGTCCAGTGGTTCTTCGGTTTTCATTGATGTTTATCGCAAATGTTTAATCTAGTTTTTTTATGTGGAATGCAAAATTAATAATATATATGTTTTACGTAGCTTGATGGTTTCAACCTTGATTAAAGATGTTAAGATGTAGTAATGATGTACTCTCATGAATCATTAACAAGTAACAAACATGAACTCAATGGTTCGCTTGACCACAATGAGTCTAAGAGTCATATTAATCTGATTTCTCATATAGTCTTCAATTTAGATGCAAATCAACTATTCAATAATAATGTACATGAAAGCAGTCCGCGAAAATAGTGAATACTTACACTTTATAAACTGTTGATCCACAAAACATATCGAACTGAAGGTTTCAAGTAAGTCAACGTTCCTCTAACTTTTTAACGCCTCAAATTAGATTTTGTTTGTTATAAACGTCAACAAAAAGAAATGATAATGCATTATGTGATGACTTATCAGTGGTTTTCGGTTATTTACTTTTTATTACTGATTTCATTCTATCACTCATGTGGTAGTCAGTCATCTTGCTGAATATTGACAGAATAAGCTTTTAATCATTTGAAAAGAACTTTCCATCAATCATTACCACCTAAAGTTTATTCGAAAAACTTCACTTGGAAAGAATATGAAAATTTCACAATTAAACTAACGAGTTCAGAGAACTCAGTTCTCATAGAATCATAAAATGGTATATGGAATATTATGCCAGAAATTCGTGATCTCAATGAAAATTAACTAATAGGATTCGATCAACTCTAAGGTATAGACAAGCACGATAATGGTCACTGACCAGCGACCAATCAGAGCAATACATTTGTATGCTCTGAATGAGTTAATATTTTTTCTAAAGTTGAAATCATGAGTCAATTGGAGCTAGACCACCATGGAAAACTTGGAAACACTGGACGGCCGTTTTGTACTATTATGGGACTCCTCAGCAGTGCGCATCCATGATCTCGCTTCTCGAGATTCCAACCCATGACTTACCAGTCTCGCGAGATCGTGGATGCGCACTGCTGAGGACTCCTACAATAGGATGAAATGGCCGTCCAGTGCTTCCAGGTTTTCCATGGTGGTCTAGCTTCAATTGAATCATGATTTTAACTGTGAAAAAGATAACTAAAATCTCCACAAAACCCCACTTCTGATAATATTTTTTAAAGATAGGTTTTTCAAACAAGACTAAGACACTGTACTTCATGATGTGATTCCTACAGAAACTAACAGTGTTTCAAAAAAACTAAAATAATCATAATACTTTTCAATCCTTTTTTCAACCTATCCAAATTTTAAACTGGATATAATTCATCATTATACATACTTATGAATAGCATATTCATATAGTATGGGAGAGAACAAACCAGATTCCATTCGGTGGAGGAAGAGATCAGGAAGGAGTGCTGGAAGTAGATAGGACACACATTGAGGAAATCACCCAACTGTGTCACAAGACAAGCCCTCATATGGAATCCTGAAGGCCAAAGGAGAAGAGTAGGATCAAAGAACACATTACACCGAGAAATAGAGACAGACATGAGAAGAATGAACAAAAAATGGATAGAACTAGAAAAGAAGGCTCATGACAGTGTGGGTTGGAGAATGCTTGTCGGCGGCCCATGCTCCATTGGGAGTACCAGGCGTAAGTAAGTAAGTAAGTATGAATAGCGTGCATTATTATTATTATTATTATTATTATTATTATTATTATAAAACAAAACAATATATACAATCTATACTTACTTTAAATATGAGGTAGATCGTTCATGTACAACAGAGAATTCAATTGCATCAAATAATTGAGTGATAACACCACCGGTTCGTAATATCTCCTCACCCATATAACGTAATAATCCAATTTTCATAAATTGATATCTATTATTATTATTATTATTATTATTATTATTATTATTACTAATGATACTATTATCAACCAATTGATCTGATATCCTTTTACCTGTTATTAATGAATTTGACATTTGTACACAACATATCATGATAATACATAAACATATAAATGAATTATTCCAAATTGTAGTAGTAGTAGTAGTAGTATTATGAGTAGTATTATAAGTAGTATTATAAAATGGACAAAAATTTTGTTGGATAAATTTATTATTTTTTATTAAATAATATTGTTTCTTTGAATTATTTTTTAATTTCCATAATAATTTAATAATTTTTATTAAAATCAATATAATTAAATAATAATAATTATTATTAATAATAATAATAATATAATAAATTAATTGAATAATTAAAAAATAATTAAAATTCAATTGATTTAATTGAAATAAAACACACTGATTATACATATGTTATACAATAATATAATATTGCATTCATAAGTAAATAAGTTCACTGTATTATATATGATTACTATGATTATGATTATTATTATTATAAGTAGTATTATAAGTAGTATTAGTAGTATTAATAGTATTGAATGATAATTATGTTTTAAATATTCAATAATATTAGTAATATAACTGAATAAAGGATAATTATATAATTTTAATAATGTTATGTACATTTTTGTTTGTTTATTTTATTTGTTTGTTTGTTGTTATTATTGATTATTGATCTAGTTCTCTGTTGTTGTTTTTTTTTTGTTTGTTTTTTTCTGTATCTATTTTTCCCAGGTTACCATATTTTTTTGTGTATGAAAACTGATTTATTTTTAAAAGAAACTTGGAAAAATATTATCGATTATGTTTAATGTATTATTATATAATGGTTTATCGAAAATTCAATTTTTTTTAAATTTTTCCCATAGTTACTAATATATTTTGTGATAAACAAATAAACATAATGAAATTATTATTATGATCATTATTATAACTGTTATTATGTAATATTGAATGAACGAACATTTATTTATGAGATAAATGATGAGGAGGATAATGTCAATTAATTTATACATTTATACATGTATATATTACTTATACACACTCACACACATATCAACATACATACATGTCTGCATATGTATATTTGTTTATTCAATTGATTATGGATACAAAAGGGACATTGAAGAACGAATACTATTCATAATTGATGTTTACTAATATGTTTCTATGCCTAATTTTATATGTCTATGTCTCTATTAATCGTCATTTGTTCAAATTATAAAACTAGTTGGGTCTGTCCGTATTTTTGTTGTTGTTTTTTTCTTTTTTTAAAAAAATTCAGTTTTATATAAAATGTATTTCACTTAATTAGAATATAAAGTTTATAGACTGTAAACAATTATTTTAAGATTTATATCTTAATTTTAATAGTTGAGATCATGAATCAATTGAAGTTAGACCACCATGGAAAACCTGGAAACACTGGACGGCTGTTTCATCCTATTGTGGGACTCCTCAGTAATGCTCATCCACGATCCTAACTCGCGAAATTCCAATCAGTCTCGCGCCAGAGCGCTTAACGTCTAGACCACTTACCCGGCCGGTATCCAACGGTGTTAATGTCTAACTTCAACCATTCATCAATGTCATCAGTGAGTTGATATCTCCCAACAGACCTCGTTGAACTCCACCGGTCACTGCTTCTCATATATTATCACTCCTCTTAATCTAAACTAATATTTAAAACAATTAGTGCCTTTGATAAATTTCGATAGAGCAATGAGAAGACGAGGTTTATCAGAATTATGTGATATATTTATGCAATACATTTCGAACAATCTGATCACACACAGTATACTTGTTAAGGACATTTATATATAAAAACTAATAAGACAACTAAACAGGTTAAGGTAAGCCGTAACAAAGAAAGAAAATGAATAAAGTACACGAAAACAATATGATGACCACTCAGCATTACCAGGGTAGGTTAAGGGTAAGAACAAATTGTTTTTGAACACATAAAGACGGTTTGAATTTCCGTATAGCCAAGGCTTCAATAAACCTTAGTATACGTCTTAGAAAGTTTTTGTACAACACTATAAATGCTGACTTGATGTCAACCTTATGACCAGTTTCAACCAAATGTTTCACAATGGAGGAAGATGTCTGTCTATCCTTTGATCTTCTTTGTATGGTCACATTGTTCAAAATGTATTACGCAAATGTATCACATAATTCTGATAAACTTCGTCTTCTTGTTGCATTAAACTAATATTGTTTATGTTGTATCCCGAAGAGAATAGTGAAAGTAACTTTTGAGAACTATTTTATGGATTAATGTGATATGCATGTTTCCTATTGTATAATTGTTAATTGACTTAACTATTCATATTAATGTTCCCTTTATTATGAGCTTTATTTTGACCTATAGACTATTATTATACAATTTATCATTCTTGAGTTATCCCCAGTTATTGATTACTGTTCCCCCCTATTCACAGCCACTTTTGCTTAATTCTTGTACAAATGTTATTTTCTATTTTATGGTACGATGTGGTCTGTTTGACTGGTATATAAACCCATTATGTTTGAGAATAATGATTCATATTGCAGTGACTGTTATTGGTGTTCTGGACTCAACTGGCTGGGTTAGGCAGAAAGCAGAATTGACAAGTAATCAAGACTGCTCATACGGTTTTGTGTATCATTGCGTGATCAATAAATTCACAGCTCTCCAATTGGCGGTCGTATCACGTTCATATTATATTGACAGGGCACACTCAAGCAATCGATATAACAGTTCATAGGTTATAAATTAATACGAATTCCATAAGGAAGTATATTCATGTATTTATTAATTCATTTTACACATGTAATCTTGTAGATTTTATTAGAATTAATTGAATCGACAATAAATAACAAATGAGGTTACTTACTAATCAAGGGGTAAGGAAGAAAATAATTTATGGGTCAGATAATAGCCCAATTGACAGATATAAAGAAAAGCAACAAACACAAAGATCATAATAATAGACTGAATAATAACCAAGAAAACTTGTATGAGGTTATAATAACGTCCCTAGCTTCGTCCCATTTGGGACTCATCAGCTGAATGAATCAGACCATTTTAACTTGAATTAAGTATGTCTAGTTATTTCTTTCCTACATGTGATATTATTGTGTGTAAACATTAGTAAGTAAATGACTGTATTTTAGTCTAATGAAGACGTAACTTTGGAAGGACGTAATTTTGGAGAGCCAATAAATCTTCGTTGCATCAGTCTTTTGTGTTCTTACTTTGAGTTATGGGAATTGTAGTGGTTACCCATTTTCAGTATAAGCACTAGGACTGTAGACTTAGAATAGCCATTATATCAGAGATAAAGGTGGCAGCGACCCAAGTTTAATAATTTGCTAAACCTTAATAAAACTTTTATCTTAAAAATAGATTTCATTATTAGCTGGTCTCATCTAAGGAATCAATCAAATGATCATACTCCTCAAAATTTAATGTTATTCTATAAGCTTTCACCCAAAATAATTTAAAACGGCTGTTTTCTTTAGTGTAATAACTTTGTAAATAGTCCTTAAATATTTCATAAATTTCTATGAAAAAAGTTTTTTTCTCCCTTAACTAACAAAATGTTTAATAGACCACTTAGCCGGTCGGCATCCAATGGTGTTAATGTCTTACTTCAAACAATCCACGAAATTGAGCAACTGTCCACCATTGTCTGCAGTGAGTTGATATCTCACAACAGACCTGGTTGAACTCCACCGGTTACTGCTTCTCACTAGAACTTCAGGAAATACCTCATAGAGCCAGTCAATAGAGAGCATATGATCATTATCAGAAGGGAGTTTGGTGGAGATTTGACTCATGATCATATGCTCACCAGTGACTGGCTCCATGAGGCATTTCCTGGAGTTCTAGTGAGAAGTAGTAACCAGTGGAGCTCAACCAGGTCTGTTGGGAGATATCAACTCTCTGAAGACATTGTCGAATGGTTGATCAATTTCGTGGGTTGGTTAAAGTCAGACATTAACACCGTTGGATGGCGGCCGGCTCAATGGTTTAGTGGTTAAGCGCTCGCGCGCGAGACTGATAAGTCCTTGGTTCGAATCTCGAGAGTCATGATCGTGGATGCGCACTGCCAAGGAGGAGTCCCACAATAGGACGAAACGGTCGTCCAGTACTTCCAGATTTTCCATGGTGGTCTAGCTTCAAATGACTCATGATCTCAACTATTAAAAAACTCTATATCCATAAATGAGAGTAACTTTTTAAAAAGAATTTAAAAAAATAAGTGTTCGAATAGAATTTATCAGTTTTTCATTTTACATAGTGTAGAAAATCACAGATCTCATTTAGACAATCTATGGGGGAAAAAGATTGATAGTAATCTATATAGATGAAGAAAAAAAAGAAGAGACAGGTAGACCATAATTGAATAAAGATATATTACAGATGTTTCATGTTTACTTACCAAATGTTTGATTATGAAAAAATATGTACTTTTATGACGATTATTAGAGTAACATAAAGGTCGTCACTTCTACCCATCTGTTTTCCCCTTTCCTATTCTCCTCTCACTCCCCCTTTAACTTTCACTTCATTGATCTTCGAATTCTTCTCTCACTAATACTACTACTAGCAATACTAGTGAAGTAATTGATTATAGTACAATTAGTGTAGTAACAATATTATATAATCAATCTGTTTGTTGATGATTAACTTTTTACACCAATGATCTTGGGAAATACACACTGAAAAGTAAATAATAATAGATAAGCATACATACATAAATAATTATGAGTGGAACAGAGAATTCGTAAATTTTCACACCTCTTTATTTTGAACACCATCTACCATTATTATTACTATTACTCGATCACATGTACTAAAAGATTTCCAAGTTAGAAAATAAAAAAAAACAAATTTTTTTTATTTTGGTCGACAGCTGGAACAGAAAAACAAAAGAGTTTTCCATTTCGTATTTCAACGATTAAGGTAGTTTTCCATCTCCCTCTCTCTCTCTCTTTCTCTCTCTCTCTCTCACTAACTGACTGTGTCTTTCTATTTCATTCGTTTAATTTTCAATTGTCTGGATAGTTTTTACTATAGTTGAAAGCGTGAGTCAATAGTTTTTGTTGGAAATATTGAAATACCTGGAGAAATTTTACTACTACTACTAATACTACTACTACCACTACTACTACTAATACTACTACTACTACTAATACCACTACTACTACTACCACCTTTACTACTACCACCTTCACTACTACTACCACTACTACTACTAATACTACTACTGCTACTACTACTACTACTACTACTAATACCACTACTACTACTAATACCACTACTACTACTAATACCACTACTACTACTACCACCTTTACTACTACCACCTTCACTACTACTACCACTACTACTACTAATACTACTACTGCTACTACTACTACTACTAATTCTACTACTACTACTACTATTAATAATAATAGTTATAATAATAATAAGGAAGTAAAGTCTACAATGCAAAATTCAGGTAAATGTGTATAGTCTTTTCACCCTTACAGACGCTTTATTTCAATTAAAACATTGTTAATTGTTTTACTTACAAAAAGGAAAGAAAAAGGGAAAGAGGAAAGCAAACAAAAAAAGCAGGAGAGAAACTGCCTTAAGGTTAAATAATTACACATGGAACATTTTTTATATTTTGTTTTTGAGGTTAAGTGACTTCTTTGACGGTTTCCCTAAATAAAGAGAAAGCGGAGAAAAAAGGTACGGAGGAAAATTTTTTTAAAGACAAAAAATGAGACAAAAGTTTGACTAGTTTTTTTTCCATGAATAATTTATCCTAGATTCTTTTAACTAGGTCTATGCAAAACTACATCATTTCATTTGTATGGGTTGTTTAAATCTTCTTATTATTGATGTTAAAGATTAGTTAATCATTCACTTCTGGAATATGCATACCCTGAGCGGATAGTCTCAATATTGACTTTAAGTCGTAGGTATTTTCAAGTTTTGAGTATTTCAAGCAAAAGGTACTGATGGACTTTTGTTCTCTGAGCTGGATGGTTTGGTCGTGGAGCTTTCATCATCCTTCTGAACGACATCATCAGTACAAACTTCGGGTACAAGTGAAGTGTTTGAAGCACGATGAAAGTTCCACGACCAAATCATTCAGCTCAGAGAACAAAACTCCATCAAAATCACCCAGCTGAGCTATAAATCTTCTCCACTATCTCAAAAAGGTACTGAATTTGAGTTTCACTGTGACTATTGTGGTGTTGTCTACTTATATCTATATAAGTAGTATATGGTGTGGGTCAGACATAGAATGTATTTTCGCAGAAGACCGATGAGGAAAGAACTAAAATGAAGCGCAATCGTCTGGAAAATGCATGAGCAATGGAATAAGAGAAGAAACAGTGAAGATTGAAACAATTGGTTGTTAATTTTCAAATTGACTGTTCATTGTTTGATTATCGGAATTTACTAAGATAGTCTGTAACTTTTGCTTAAATACATTCGATTGTCCCCAACTAGTGTTCTGTTCGCTACATATTAACAATGAAATACAGGCATATCCAACTGATGAATCTCAAGCAAGAATGCACCACTAGCTACCATCAAATTCTGCTTAAGAACATTTTAATATTAAGTGGAGAGCTATGTAGTATTGGTTGTTACGTTAGGCCCATATGCCTTATTCTAGCTTCTGGACAAACCAATTCACCTATCCATCTTGAGTTATATTTTGATCTTGTTAATTATTCACTTAATAACCCTGACTATTTTTATATGAGCGTATGTGTGTACACTTTTTATCCTATTCATCACATGTAACTATAAATATTGATTAACGCTTGATTAAAGCGAGTCGGCTTACCTGCCATCTGCAATACGTGTCATTTATGCTTCGCTCTCTGATATTTACTCATGCGCTTATAAGTTTCTGGCCTACATCATTTGTCAATAAAACTATATTTGCCGCTTCTCTTTGTCTTCTGATTTTATGCACCGTTAAGATTTGTATTATAGCGGTTATCGAGGTGAACGAAGAACGGCACTACAGTTATTAGAAACTAGGAAGGAATGTAACAAATGATTGATCTTAATTTTATAATTATGAGATAGTCTCGACATATATGTCTATCAATAAATTTGTGCCTAGGTTTTATTTTTCAAGTATTTTGATGAGGATGAAATTTTTTTTAGATAAGAGAAGAAGAAACCATGAATTGTATAGTACATTCATCCACCTGTCAAATTTCATGTACTAAGCAATCTCATTTTGATACTTGAGAAATGGTATATCAATTTGAAATCAATTATTTTTTAGTTGTATTTTAAGAAGTTAATTGTGTTTATTTATTCAGAATAAGTATATGAACAGTCTCATTGAAATCTTTTCTGAAATATATTCTTATAGTTGAAAGCATGAGTCAATTGAAGCTAGACTACCATGGAAAACCTGGAAGCACTGGACGGCTGTTTCGTCCTACTGTGGAACTCCTCAACAATTCTTATCCACGATCCCGCCTCGCGAGATTTGATTCCAGGACCTATCAATGTCGTACGCGAACGCTTAACCTCTAGACCACTGAAACAGCATCCGATGGTGTTAATGTCTAACTCCAACCAATCCACGAAGTTGAGCAACCGTCCACCAATTATCTTCAGTGAGTTCTTATCTCACAACAGACGGGGATGCGCACTGCTGAGGAGTCCCACAATAAAACGAAACAGCCATCCAGTGCTTCCAGGTTTTCCTTGGTGGTCTAGCTTCAAATGATTCATGATTTCAATTATGAAAATACTGAAATCTCCACAAAACCCCTTCTGATTGAAATATATTCACCAGAATTTAACTCTTAAGAATGAATTTTAATGACTCCTTAAAGAACTTTAAACGTTCAAATGACTATTTAATTTGTTGACTGTTTCATTTGTCTAATGACAATGAGACAGTTAATGTTGATTTTTAGATGGGACTAATAGACACTTTCTTTTGGTTCTCCTGATGCAATATACGGGTCCTCATGAAGGTATCAGGAATATAAGATCAAGTAAAGAGGATCAAATCTTCAAAGGTAATCAATAATCGAAAACTTCACCAAAACAAACGGATTTAGCGGTTGCGGAATAATTAAATAATCTGGTTGTACGTGAAGTAAACGTTATTGATATTATACAGAATGCTAAGAAATAGACTTAGTTAGAAAACCATTAAAAACCATGATAAGGAGACTGGACGTTTGTTTCGCCCCAGTGGTTGGCCCAGAATTTTCAGGTCTAGTGATGAGCGCTTAACCATTCATTAGTCTGGATTCCTAAACTCGTTCAGTTTGCGATTTTGCTTAGATATATCCTGAACCCAGTACTTCAAACTCAATATAGCTGCACTTCAATAGTCATGTATTCACACAAGAACTCCTTGAATAACTACTACTCAAATTAGTCACTAGTTAGCACATTATTATCGTCAGTGTTAGGGATTTTTAGACATTGTCGATTTTCATAGTTTGTATCTGCAAATGACTTTAATTAGAATACCACAAGCTCCACGACCAAATCATCCAGCTCAGACAACAAAACTCCATCAAAATACTACAAGCCACTAACAACCTGTCCTGTCGACATATATAATTCGATTGATTGCTACTAGTAGATCTCCTGTCGTCCGCTACACGTATAGTGTGGTTGTCGCTTTCTTCATGACCTGAGCTTTAACCTGGTAGTTAAATGTTATCGTTTCTTCTCATTAACTGACGAATAATTTCAATTTCAATGTATTTATGAAGTATCAAATGATCTAGGTACGAAAATTATGAAAATATTCTGACATTTTCTAATTTGTCTCAACCTAATTTTCTACATTCATTTTCTACATTCAGTGTTGATATACGTTTTTGCTGATGTTCAAGCAGACAAAAATGAAGAATGTGACTATTTTTCTAGTTGAAATGAACTATCTACAGTGCTTTATTATCTATGTATATATTTGATGATCGTTGAGAGCTAGACTTTACATAATGTGTATTAAATATATTCTGTCGGCTCGCTAGATAAATTTGTCTCGAAAATCAAAGATGGATAGTGGCTAACAGTGGAATCCAGGACGTGCGTTTCGTCCTGTTCGCGAATCGTCAGATGAATGTACCTGAATCTCACAGTCGGTGTTCACTCTGCGACTCGAACTCAGTACCGTTTGCCTCAAACGCAATTGCGTTATTTACTCAGCTTCTGAGTCCTGATGGCCAGTAGCTTGTGCAATAGGGTGAAGCGAAAGGTACTGGGTTCGAGTCCCATAGTGAACATCAACTCTCAGATCCAGGTACATCCAGCTAACGAGTCACAAATAGAACGAAACGTCCGTCCTGGATTCCACTGCAAGCCAATATTCATCTTTGTTTATAATGTTTGTGAATTAAAGCTATATAGAGGTGATACGCAAAGTATGCACATATGCCAATAAGAGACTGATCAATTGCAGTCCAAAACATCAATGGGAAGATTCAAACAAACAATACCAAGTGAATGGTCTCTATAAGCTTCAGAAATCTACTTGTAATATTTAAGAAGCTTTATAGTCCGTCTGAGATGACTAAAATCACACGCTTTCACAAACTATCGGCGCACCAACTAAAAATAACTTGATAACGATATTGTCACACTTTTGAAAATGTGAATGACATTCATTTACAATCCACTTCAATAAAGAGGATTATTACAGATGAAACTAATGTAATATTTGCACATGTGTAATCTACATGTAGAATGAAGAGACATGCATATTTATCAAAAACATACGCATATATACATATATTGGACATCGATTCAAATTCGTCGCTATAAACACTGGTATATTACACATATTCATGTGTATAATGAAAGGTTCGAAAGTAAACAAAGGTCGAAAGGTCTTCATTAATTTTTTTCTAAGGAATTTTGTTTATTTAAACGTATAGTTTTTATAAACAACTAAGATACTATTCATAAGAAAAAATTGATTCTAATCAAGAATATTAAAAATATATTAAAACTAGGGGTGACAGAAGAAATAAACATAATCGCCCTAGTTGTTTTGTTAGAATTGAATTATGATTAGTCGCAGAAACCAGAGCAGACAACTTCCTCCTACTGAGAACTGATCAGCAAGATTCCAATGTTAACCACTACCCAAATCAGATTAAAACATTTGATTAAGTAAAACAGTATCGAAGTAATCCTCGCAAAGATTAATTTTAACAATGAGACGATACAAACACCCACGGATGACTGGTTAGCCGTCTAAAGAATAGGCTAAATGGTATACTGATAAAAAGAGGGATAAATTAGTTCTGCAGCTACTCCTAGTGATGATGATGATGATGATGATGATGATGATGATGATGATGATGATGATGATGATGATGATGATGATGATGATGATGATGATGATGATGATGATGATGATGATGATGATGATGATGATGATGATGATGATGATGATGATGATGATGATGATGATGATGATGATGATGATGATGATGATGATGATGATGATGATGATGATGATGATGATGATGATGATGATGATGATGATGATGATGATGATGATGATGATGATGATGATGATGATGATGAAGTAATAAGATAGTGAAAATTTAGTAGTATAAATGATGAGCGTTTCATTCACAGTATGCTTGATTGTCAAACAACATTATCATAAAATTTTGACTACATTTAGAAGAACGAATTTATTTTCAATTATAAATAGTTAATCTAAGCTAGATCACTATTGAAAACCTGGAAGCACTGGACTGTCGTTTTGTCCTAGTATGGGGCTCCTCAACACTGCGCAGCCATGATCTCGCATGCAGGACTCAAACCCAGGATCTTTGGTCTTGCGCAAATGATTTTTGAATTCAACTGTTAAAAGGATATATATATATATATATATATATATCATTTTCTCATTAGTTTCATTTTGTATCTTGATTCGCTATTCATTTGAAAATCCGGAACACTGATAACAAATACTACAAGTAGTCGCTGATAAGAAGCGTATCAACATGTACTACACTTTGAGAAGTAATAACTGAGAAAATAGAAAATTTCATAGTGTATAACATTGACTTATACGAGTTAAAAAATTATTTGAAACCTAGGAAAACTTGACAGACACTCTGTTTTAGTTTGAAACTCATTATTTGTGTGTGTTTACCACTAAGTTGAGGATCCATACAAGGATCTTCAAGTTTTATGGCAAGTGATTATTCTTTAAACCACTGGATTGGCATTCAGTTCATGACATTGTGCAATCATTTACTATTTCCTTCAGTGAGTAACTGTCTTACGTTTGACATAGTTGAACTTCACTGATCATGGCTTCTCATTAAAACTCAATGAATGGCCACTAGAAATCAATCACTAATAAACAAATGATTGTTATTAGTATAATAGATTTATGGGAGATTGCTAAACTTTATAGTTTAAACTTCTTACTTACCTACTTTCGCCCGTTACTCCCAATGGAGAATAGGCCGTCGACCAGCATTCTCCAACCCACACTGTCATGGGCCTTCCTTTCTAGTTCTATCCAACTTTTGTTCATTCTTCTCATACCTGTCTCCATTTCTCGACGTAATGTGTTCTTTGGTCTTCCTCTTCTCCTTTGGCCTTCAGGACTCTATGTGAGGGCTTGTTCCGTGACGCAGTTCGGTGATTTCCTTAAAGTGTGTCCTGTCCAATTCCAGCACTTCTTCCTTATCTCTTCGTCCGCTGCAATCTGGTTTGTCCTCTCCCACAGTAACTTGTTGCTGATAATGTCTGACCAACGGATCCGAAGTATTTTGAGTAGACAACTGTTAATAAACACCTGTATCTTCTGGATGATGGTCTTCATAGTTCTCCAGGTTTCCGCCCCATACAATAGAACTGTCTTGACATTTGTATTGAAAATTGCGATCTTGGTGTTGGTTGACAATTGTTTTGAGCTCCAGATGTTCTTCAATTGTAAATATGCTGCTCTTGCTTTGCTGATCCGCGTCTTCACATCTGCATCTGCTACACCGTGTTCATCAATGGTGCTGCCCAGATATGTAAAGCTTTTTACGTCCTCCAAAGCTTCTCCGTCAAGTGTAATTCGATTTGTGCATGTTTTATTGTATCAGAGAGTCTTGCTTTTCCTTTTGTTTATATTGAGATATACTGCTTCACCAAATAGAAAATTAAATGAGATACAATATGACCATGTGTGCATATATTATTTCAATGTAATTACATATATAAAAAATACATTTAAATAAATTATGGTCCTATTTTAGGTTTATTCGGTTTCTGTAAGATAATAATCTTAAATTCACTTAGTATTGTTTATTTGAATCTTCCTATCAATGTTTAGGAAAGGTACTGGGTTCGAGTCCCAGAGTGAACATCAACTCTGAGATGAAGGTACATCCAGCTGACGAGTCTCAAATAGGACGCAAGACGCTTCCTGGATTCCACTACTAGCCATTATCCATCTTTGCTTATAATAATCTTAGTTTAATGTAATCTCCTTTCTATACTTCATTAAAACAAATTTAGATTGGAGTTGTATAGATTAAATAAATAGTGACCTAGATCAAATAAATCGATATTATAGGATTAGTCTATCGCCTTATCTGTACAACTTCAACTTGTTTCTAATCATTAGCCGATATCTTTATTTAATTTTTCTAGAATTGTAAAAATGGAATTCCGTTATTTGAATGAAGCACAAAAGGTGGACAGAAATAATTTTGAATCATGGCTGCAAGAAAGTCAAAACTTTGTTGCCGGTTGGTAAAAATCAAGACGAACAATCATTTAAAATCAAAAGGGGTTTTGTGGAGATTTAGTATTTTCATAGTTGGAAGCATGATTCAATTGAAGCTAGACCATCATGAAAAACCTGGAAGCACTGGACGGCCATTTCGTCCTATTATGGGACTCCTCAGCAGTGCGCATCCCCGTCTGTTGTGAGATAAGAACTCACTGAAGAAAATTGGTGAACGGTTGCTCAACTTAGTCGATTGGTTGGAGTTAGACATAAACACCATGGGGTGCCGGCTCAGTGGTCTATCGATTAAATGCTCTGGCGCGAGACTGGTAGGTCCTGGGTTCGAATCTTGCGAGGCGAGATCATGGATGAGCACTACCGAGTAGTCCCACAATAGAACGGAACGGCCGTCCAGTGCTACCAAGTTTTCCTTGGTGGTCTAGCTTCAATTGACTCATGCTTTCGATAATTTAAAAGCTTTCTTTCTTTCAAGTTGAATACAAGAACATATTCCAGGCGAACAATTACTTAAAAGCTTTTTTCCTTTCATATATATATATATATATATATATATATATATATAATTAAGTCTAAATGCTTTTAGAAGCTCAAATCAGGTTGATAGGTTAATAATGAAGGAATAAATTCGGCAGCCAGATCAAACTTTCCGATCATCACTTTGACAAAAACGTACATTGAATGTTATAGGTTCTACTATTTTGGATATTTTTTGTCATATAATGAAATAATCGTCTGCAAACTACACACTTACATCAACTGCTTACAATCAATCGCAAATAGAATCACTAAAAAATTTTTCCAAGAAGTACCATTATGGTGTTTCTTAAACTTTCTTATTCTTCTTAGCATTATTTGTTTGAATCTTTCCCATTGATGTTTAGGACTGCAACTGGTCAGTCTCTTATTGGCATATGTGCATACCGTGCGTATTGATTTGATATATCCTTAATTCACAAGCATTGTAAGCAAAGATGAATAGTGGCTTGCAGTGGAATCCAGGACGGACGTTTCGTTCTATTTGTGACTCGTTAGCTGGATGTACCTGGATCTGAGAGTTGATGTTCACTATGGGACTCGAAACCATCACCGTTTGCTTCAAACGCCATCGCGTTATCCACTCAGCTACTGAGTCCTGAGATGCAGGTACATTCAGCTGACGAGCCCAAAATAGGATGAAATACGCGTCGTGGATTCCACTGTTAGCCACTATTCGTATTTCCTATTCTTCTGTTTGTTTTTTTGAGGGGGGGGGAGGGAAAACAGATCCAATTATCAAAGAATTTGCATATCATATATATATATGTATATATGAAACGAGATGTTTTTATAACAAACATGATCGTAAATAATTATGGATGAATATTAAAGCTAGCTAATCATTGTTTGCAATCTTCTTGTGTTTTTTATTTTTTAGATACCTACGGGTGATATATGGCAATATTACGGAACTTAGGCTACGAATTAGTTTACCTGGTGAAACATAGTGACATGGAGTTTAAAAAATTAGTACTATTATTCATTCGTTAAAATCATAGCAAATATAATTTATTAGTATAGGATTGTGTAAAATGTTGAATTTTATTGTGATCGCGAATTTATCGAAGTTAAACAACAACTAATAACTTAGAAGCATTGAACAATCGTTTCATCCTAATGTGAGACTTCATAGAAGTGCATGTTCACTACCGTGCAACCGTGAATCGAATCCTAAACTTTCGGTCTCACTCACTTTAACTTGTAGAATGATGAGACGTAATTTCACACTGAAAATTATCACTTACTTATGAATGACTACCTTTGAGATGAAATTCTCGAAGATCTAGTGAAAAACCATGACTAGTTAATCTTAACCATGTCAGTTGTGAAGAAGACAATGGAAAATTGTCATATAATAGGGTGAATTGATTGAGGCTAAACATTTGCACTTCTAGATCCTGTTTCAGAGTTTTAAAGGTTAGCTTTTCGTGCGCAAGCCTATAAATCCTGAAATCGTCTTCTAGTTTCAAAGTCGCAAATACTGTATCCCCTGAAGAGTCCTACACTAGGATGAGAAAAATTAATCAATCATTTTCAGTTTTTAATGTTAGTCCAGTTAAGATTTAATTCTTGATTTAAACTATGAAAAATAAAATTTTGATTTAGTACTTTCAAATTAGTTTAATACAAGATTATATCATCATGTAACTAAATCATAATTGATATGTTTGATGTACTATTAAATGTTTCTAGCATGTTTAAATGTTTGGTAAAGGTCATATATTTTATAGTCAAAATCATGAGTCAATTGAAGCTAGACCACAATGAAAAATCTGGAAGTACTGGACGACCGTTTTGTCCGATTGTGGGACTCCTCCTTGGCAGTGCGCATCCACGATCCCGACTCGCGAGATTTGAACCCAGGACTTATCAATCTCATGAGCGAATGCTTAACCTTTAAACCACTGAGCCGGCCAGCATCCAACGGTGTTAATGTCTAACTTCAACCAATTCACGAAATTATAGCACCGTCCACCATTTCTTCAGAGAGTTACTATCTCACAACAGACTTTGCGTTTACGTGTGAGACCGATAGGTCCTGGGTTTTAACCTTGCAAGTGAATGTATGTGCACCGTGTATGTGCATCGTGTATGTGCACCGTTGACGAATTCCATACTAAAACGAAATGATTTTCCAGTGCTTCCAGATTATTTCATGGTGGTCTACCTTCAATTTGACTGATAAATTCAACTATTAAATATAGTCTAAACATCATATTACTATTTACGTGTCGACAAAAAAAGAAAAGAAAAGAAAAACAAATTTAGAAAAAAAAATTATTGAAATAACAAGCAAACACAAATTTAAGTTTAAATTTCTTTTTCTATTACC